ATAAAATCTCTAGATAATGGAAACTTACTGTTCCTTGACATAGATGGACTTCATGCTCAGTCCATTGGGATTCAGCGTAATCTGCTGAGTACAAATCCTCAGCCGCCGTCATCGGCTGTGGGTGCTCACGTTCATGAAGCAGTCAGCATCTTATTAGTACAGAGTTAGTCTCCCTGGATACAATGTGTGTATGAAGTGCTATGCATCATGCCCGGCATATGACAGACAGTGGAACACACACATGCACATACACTGCATAATATGTGCTTAAGCATCTGCTGAATCTTCTGAGGTTTTTAAATATGTAAACATGGATTTGGATGGAGCTAGTGATGTTTGGATCTCCCATTTTTCCTTATGGCCCAGTGTCCCATCTTTGAAAGTTAGTGATGATTTCAGATTGCAAATGGGGACCCTGAGTTACATTAATTGACCCCTGAGGTACTCAGGCCGCAGAGCAGACAGAAGTCACTGTGGGTGGAGGACACTTACATCCCCCTCCATTGAGTCCACATGCAAAGAGCAAATAGATCACACCCCCGAGCCGCGGCCGCCCCTCCCACCGCAGGGTCGTGGCGCTCCGACTCCCTCGGGGTTCGGGCAGAGTCTGGAGCGACTGAAGTTGTGCTCCGGAGACGCACAGCCGATCAGGGAGGGCGACTGCGGAAAGCTGGAGAGGGGTTCGGAGCCCCCGCTTTCCTTCCCGCGCAAGTCCGCTCCAGCGGGTCAGGCCGGGTCCTTGCCAGGCCGGCGGGGTGGTGGATGGCAGGAGGCAGCGCCCAAGCGCAGGACGCACTCGGGAATTGGGGAGCGCCTCTCTTCGCCGCCACTGTGCCACCCTGCCCTCGGAAAAGCTCCACGGCTGCGACTCCGGCACAGCTGCCCTCCCGGAGCCCTCCACGCACCCCCGCCCGCATCCTTTGCAAACTGTGGTGAAGCCCAGGGGAAGGGGCTACGCACTTGGGAAGAGCTGGTTCTGCCCTCCCCGTTCTCTGTCTCCTCGGAGGGGGCGCAGGGAGCGCTCCCTTGGGTTCAGCCTCACCCCGCCACACCAAGGGGTTCTTTGATCCCCGGCCCCATCCTGGTACTAGTGGCCCCCGCAGGTACTGTCACTTGTTGCCTCCCCACGCATCGCCTTGGACCCTGCTAAGGCTCTGTGGAGAGAGCGATTCCGTGTGTGGGAGGGGGGGATTGGGGTGCGTGTCCACCTTAGGTCCTCCGGTTCACCCCTCACCGAGAAGGACCGGCTGCAGGGAGGAGACCAAGCCTGCTTCCTGCCCTGCCTCGCGGAGTCTCCCGGAGAAAGGGGTGGCGGGGCCGGACCTTGGGAGTCCAGCCAGGGACGGGGCGGGGCGCTCGCATTGCCGTGCAAGGAGCCCCGGGAACGCACTGAGAGGGGAATGGGGGTGCCTGCGAGGGACCCCAGCCTAGGTCAAGTTTACAGGGGTGACGGGGGAGTAGAGATAGAGGGAAAGCGAAGATGCAAATGGGTGAAGGTTGAAAAGGAAACGCGGAGAGGGACCGGAAAAAAGCTGGGGAGCGGAGGAGGGGGAGAGGCAGGCACCGGATGAGCGAAGGCCGGGAGGATGCAGAGGGAAAGCTGGGCGCCAGAGCAAGGCGGGTAAGAAGAGCGTGAGGGGTCCAGGAGGTGGAGGAAAACATAGCCAGACAGGAAAAGGAAGACTCGGACCCACGACCCGAGAAGAAGGGGAGAGGAGGCTGCGAGATTCCTCCCTCCACCTCTTGCCGCGCTGGGTCCTGGCTCGATTACGAGAAGGGCCCTCCTTTCTGCCCGCGTTTTTCTCAGGATCCCTGGCAATGGGTGTCCGCATCACTGTCTGAATCCTGCGCCCTTAGGACTCGTCTGTCGCTCGGTGGAGGCGGCCCTGAGTTTCAAGCCCCGTTCCTTTACTCTTCTGCTTATCCCCACCCCCGCACCCCCATTAGTGTCCGAGGGGACAGGACTCTGGGCCACCGCCACCCCCAATTGTGAGGTGCTGGAGCTGTCCAACTTCTGCCTACTCCTTAGGTCCGCACCTGAGCCCTTCGCACGGATGGGAATTGCCTTTTCCTTTGGCTGTGACTTTTTGTGGATCACTGCAGTCTGTCCTAATCCCTAAAACTTAGTACTTTCCAAAGGACTACCAAAAGTCTGCGCTTTCACAGCACATATGAGGAGAGAGAGTGCTCTGATATAGTCATTTTTGTTTATAAGTGAAATTACACCAGAAAGAAAGGAAGAGGGTCTGATTCTCCCATACAGCTACTCATCTTTGCTCTTATTTGGCTCCAAATTGTTGGCAGTATCCCCCCGCCACACACACACACACACACACACACACACACACGCGCGCGCTCGCGCGCGTGTGCGCGCGCACACGCGTGGGCACAAAGAAGACAGGAAACATACAGTCATCATCAACCTACTTACATATGTACAAAGATACACAGGTCTGTGATGTGATAAACAACTCTTGACCTGTGAGGAAAGTTTTGTTCCTTCCAATTTGGAGGCTCACCTAGAGATGATCCTGGTCACCAGTGATCTGCCATTAGCTGGGAATTGCCCACTGCTTTCTGTGAATTTTGAAAAGTTTAAGAGTGTGAGTGGGTAAGTTTCCACTCACACTGCACCTTTGAATCAGAGGGACTAGTGTATACCAGCAATCAATATTTCTGTGCAAAATCCAGCACTTCCGTGCCTCGAATTCTGCTCAAGACAACAGAAAACGTAGGTCCTTGATAGTTCACAGGAGCATTTCTCACAATTGTGAAAATGTAGAAACGAATTCAAATACCCTAGGGCTGGGGATTTAGCTCAGTGTTTCTGCCTCCTGCTTCTAAAGCACAAGTATTGGAGTTTGATCCCCAGCACCAAACAGAGAGAGAGAGAGAGAGAGAGAGAGAGAGAGAGAGAGAGAGAAGAAAAACAAATATCCATCAACGGATGAATGGATAACAAAAAGGTGTATATTCATTCCTGTGGAATATTACCCAGCAATAAAAAGGAATGAGATACTGATGATTAGCACATAGTGAATGAACTTCAAAAGCATGCTGAAATCCAGATGAAAAGCATGCATTGCATAATGCTATTGTCTTAGTTACTTTTTTGTTGCTGGGACAAAATATTTCAACCCAGAAAGTAAAGGAGGAAAAGTTTATTATGTCTCAGTTTGTAGAGGTTTCAGACCATAGTCAGCTTGCTCCAAGGCAGGGCAGCATGCAGTGGGGCATGGGAGAGGAGAAATACTTCCACAGCAGGGCAAGCAGGAAGCAAGAAGAAGGAAGAAACAGCAGCAGCCGTGTCAAGGCCCCCTTCCCTTCTTTATTCCATTCAAGCTACAAGCCTATTAGTTGAAGCCACCCACACCACGGGCAGATCTTCTGTGTTCCATAAACCCATCCAACCACATGCAGAGCTATGCTAATTCAATCAGTGGACTAATCTAGTTATCACACATCCATAATTCATATTTACACAACCTAGATCCAGCACTTTCCACAAGCCCTTCCCTATGAGCACACGAAGTTCTGATAGAACATCTAGAAATAACTCATAACATCCATTAATATGAAATATTTAGAAAAGACAAATTTGTAGAGAAGATCCACAGTTGCAGAGGGGTTACGGGCATAAATATAAATCGACTCCAAAATGAAACACGAGGGAACTTTGATGAGTGACGGAAATGTTCTAAAACCAGATAGTGGTGGTAATGCTACGAATGTAAACATTTACTGAAAATAATTGAATTGCAACTAAAAAGACAAAAAAAGTTTTCACTTTTTTTAAATTCTCGATGTATCCTCGACCTGCAGCTAAGCCCCGAAGAGAAATATTTTGCAAGGCAATTTTCAAGAGGAAAAAAGAAATTAAAAGACAAAAAAAAAAAAAAAGGTCTAGTTCTTATGGATAGCTAACCATACTTCTATTCAGCAAGTTCTATTTTGGCAAATGCTCTGGAGAGTCTTCTAGGTGTTAAAGCAAGTTAATTCCCCCCTTTCACTCTTCTAAGTGATTAATTCCTGGGAATTAGGCATTCCAGTTTGTGACATTTTAAACACACCTACACATAGAATCAGTACAAAGTGCGCATTTCAGAGGGGATTTTTTTTTTTATGACTATGTTAGGATCTGTCTCAGAAATCCATATCAAGCACTTGGGTGGAGTACTGTGTGATTGCAGTTTAGATTTGAAAAGGAAAAGAAAAGAATAGGATAAAAAAAAGAGAACCACTGACAGTTTAAATCGAAAGATTCAGTTCTGCCAGACGGCCAAAAGTTGGGGTGTTTATGTTAACTTCACTCACCTTTCCTCCTCTGCCTTGTTCTTCAAGGGAAGAAGACAGGGTTCCCGCTGCTCTGGAGTCGGGATAAGTCAAACCCTTTGGTTTCCTGCCTGTTCAGATCCAGACAGAGGTGAGGCCCAAATGAGCTGTTTCTTGTCTTTATCCTTGTCAGCATGAGGCTGATAATTTCCTGTTCATTCCTTCATCAAAGGTACCAGGCTCTCAGGCCTTTGATGTGCTTCTCCCCAGACTCTGAAGATAGCCAGGCCCTGGTGAGGCTTTTCCTTGTTTCCACTTAGAAACTCCAGGCTCCTGGGGCTGTCTCAAAACTTCCTGTTATAGAGTCATCCTTTAGCAAATGGTGTAAAACAGTGAGACACATTCAAGCTGGACTTGGCTTTCTTCAGTCTGCTATGTATTCCAGCGGTGTCTGTCCCTGGCACAGGGGAACTAAGACAAAGAGGGGATGGGAATACCACGTCTAAACCAACACTCTGGGTGGAGATTCATTTGTTGGGTACATTGAAAAAATGAGAAGTCACATGCCTCTGACTTGTGTCTGATTTCTAGCTCTGCCACTTACTACCTGCGTGACTTTAGGTGATTCTTTATTTCTGTGTTTTCCAAATCTGTATAATGGGGCTAATAATATTATCTGTGCCTAGATTGTTGCAGAAAGTCATGTGCCCACCTAACCCAAAGCACTAGCAGCTTTTGTTTGGAGCACAGACTCAATGAATGAAAGGTATTCATTGCTATTATTAATTAGGAAATCTGACTATTACCACACCTTAAATGATCCCAGCATGGAAAGAGTCATGTTACAATTATGAACTATTTTAATTATGGAGATCAATCTTATCTTAAATGTTCTTAGTAATAAAACTTCTGACCAAGTATATCATGGCAATTCACAGTTTACTCACACTCCAAGGGTTGATTGGGGTAGCACAGAATCCAGGCTTGGGAGCAGAGGGTTTATATCTAAGATCTAAATTGATGTAGTCATTTTGGTAAGTCATTCACTGTTTTGAGCCTCTGTTCCCACCATCTGTAATTAAGAGCTTAACTAAGGTGGAACTTGGAGAGGACCCGTCTAGAGTTAAAAAGTTCCCAGTGAAGTCTTATTATTTATTACAAGTAAAACATGTAGCCAGGCTTGAAGGCACAAGCCTGTAATCTTAGCACTCTGGGAGACTGAGGCAAGATGATTGTGAGCCTAGCCTGGGAAAATTAGCAATTTATTGAGACTGTCCAAAAATTAAAAAAAAATAAGCCTAGGGATGTAGGTGAGTGTGAAAGCCTTGGGTTCAATCCTCAGTGCAAATAAATTCAGTCATCAATCAATCAATCAATCAATCATCAGTCTACAAACAAATGCATTTTCAGACATGCATTTCCCCCTTCTGCCACTAGGAGCAATCAGCCAATCTGCTCAGGCTAAACCCTCTCTGTTCTGAAACTCTACTAGTGACATTTTTTTGCCTTGCTTCTTACCTAGAATGTAGTTCACCAAGGGCAAGCATGATGTCTTTTCTGATTTAAATCTGCATTCTCAACACCTCATTCAATGACTGACACATCAAACAGAAGTCCAATGAATTTTTTGAATAAATCAATAAATATTTTTTAGTGGGTTAAAACTAGGATATTGGTAAAATTTCACCACATTACTACAATGTGATGAATGATCTCAGCCCTCAGTGGCTTCACACAACATTTCTTTTACTCTTGTAGATCTGGGGTTGCCTCATCTAGACTGGGCTTAGCTGAGAAAACTCAGTTTGTCTTCCTATTTCTCATCCTTCTCTTATTAGGTAGGGCATGTTCTCATGGAGGTGGAAACTGCACAAGAGGACAAAGAAAAACACACACAGTCCCTTAAATCTCAGGCACTGACTGAACTGAAAAACTCTCTGTCAACTTTTTCAGTTGGCCAACTCAAGTCACCTGGGCAAATAGAAAGTTAGATAAATAAAATTTGATTATTCAGAATTGGATGACAAAGAATGTAGATACAGGGAAGTGTGAAATATTGGCCACTAATGCAGTTTCTGTACATAGAAATGTGTTCTTGTCACTCCTTCCCCTAAACCACCTTGATTTCCTAAGTCCCATAGGTTATATCCTATAGCTATGAATAAGTTATCTAGAACATTAAAGACAGTTAATGAGAAGACAATTCAGCCTTACCCAAAATATTTTAGATATGCTCTTCCTTTACTTTAAGGTTCAAATTGTGATTCAAGAAGACAAGCAGAAATAACTATTCAACAACAATAATAATAATAACCACTAGCTTTTATTAGTCTGTTTTATATTCCAGAAACATTTATATATAAACTAGCAATGCTAAAACATTCCTTCAAAGTGTGTATATTGTCCTTATTTCACAGATGAGAGAATCGAGACAAGGAAATCATATGCACTGTCCAGTCTAATACAATTGGTAAGCGGCGGAGCTGGGTTTCCAGGCTGTGAGTATTTGACACACAAGTTCTCCCACTAGCCAGGCTTTCAGACAAAAGGCTCCTGCCATGGACTCTAGTCTTGGTATATTTGGAGGCAGGTGTAAAGAGAAAACAGACAAACACTTTCTTCTACACACTCAGGCAGAGTCTGTAGGATTCCAAGGCAGAATGTCTGATACACAGTGGGTGCACAGTTAATTTCATTAAAGATATAAAATATAAATATAAAAAGAAGGTAGAAAGAACAGTGGAGGCAGAGAAGAAAGAAAGAGTAGGAGGATAGAAGGAAGAAGACATATAAGCATATTGATCTATTTGGAAGCCATCCCTTTCCATTGCGCAGATATCTGTGGTTTCTCTGTGCCATGCATTCCCTGTCCTATTTCCATACCCACCAAGCACAGTGGTCTGCAACCTTTTTGGCACCGGGGGCCAGTTTTGTGCAAGAAAATGTTTTCATGGACAGGGAGAGGCTTTTTGAAGGGGGGAGCAAGTAGGATTGTGCAGGGTAGGAAGGGGTGGTTTCAAGAATAGATTCTTTTAAGAAGCATGAAGCCAAGCTCTCTCTTTGCACAGTTCACTGTATGGTTCACACTCCTAGGGAATCCCATGCCCTCTTGATCTGGCAGGAAGTGGACCACAGAATTCATTCCTGAGTGACCATTTGGGAGCTGCTGCAAATACAGATTGTTATGTCTTGTGTCTTGATGTCCTCCAAAAGCCTCAGGCAGTCATAGGTGGGACATCTTTCAGAGGTGGCTGGATCTAGAGTGTGTGATGCTGGGATTAATTCATGGTTCAATGCTAGGCTCAAAGGCATTAGAATTATCCACGTGAGGGCTATCTACTATAAGTAGCCTGGATAAGATATAAGGGATAGAAAGAGCTGAGGTTACCCACTGTTGCTTTGCTACCTTCTGTCTACAATGAACTGATTCTCCTGTGCAATATTTTTTCTGCCATGCCACCCTGACTTGGAGCCAGCCTCTTTTGGACAGAAGCCTCTACAAACTGTCAGCTAAATAAACCCTTTCCTCTTTTCACTTTAGGTGTTGGGTATTTTTTCTTAGCAATGAGAGAAGTAATTAAGACACAGATAAAGCTTCTCTTGCTTGCTTGCAACACACACACTCACCACCTGCTGTGAGGCCCCCTTCCTAGCAAACTGTACATGGGTACTGGTCCATGACCTAGGGGTCGGAGACCCCTTGTCTAGAACATGCAACATGAACTGGCCCTTATCTGCCTCACTGGCCTTCCGGTCTCCCCCACAATCACTGAAGGTGCACTTTCAACTATTGTTCAAATACAAGAGTATTCTAGATTCAAAGCCTTTGCACTTGCTCTTCTCTCTACCTAAAGACTCTTCCTCTGTTCTTCTCACCTTGCTTACACCTTTCCTTTGAGGATGAGGATTTCTCTTGCTCTCTCATCAGCAGAAGCACCCTACTCAACACCTCTCTATCACTCTAGTCTACTTTATTTTCGTTTAGAACACAAACAGCCAGTGCAAGTTGCATTGTCTATTTTATTTATTTATTTTTACTGGGTTTCTCACCCCAATAAGACACAAGCTTTGGTCGGGGGGATGCATCTTCTTTCTTGTTCACGCCTATAAGTTGAGAATCTAACACAGTGCTGGGCATAAGGTAGGCACTCAGTAAATATTTGTAGAATGAATACATGAATAGTAAATGCAAGAATAATGCTAACTAAATGAATGAGTTCCCAAAGCAAAAACAGCTAGATCATCTGCTTGAATCTAAACATGGTGCAAGTGTCCGTTGTTTACAAAGTGAATTTAATGATGCCAATTATTCACATTACAAAAATGCTACAAAGGTTTTACTTGGAAGCTACTTAAAATAGCTACCTGCTTTAGTGCTTTCAAAATATAATCCAATTTATAAAAATTATGGTAAATTTCCTAGCTCATAGGAATTTCCTAGAATGGAGTATACAGGCATGCATAACAGCAATTCTTCTGCTGCTTTTGATTCCAGTTTGTTTGCTGTGTGGACTGAGAAAACCGGCTTATTGAAACACCTTATGGAAGGCTATTTCAATGTTCCTCTGTGCATACATTTACATTCTTTTTTTTTAAATTTGTGAATAGGCACATTTAAATGTGTTTGCTCTCCAGGAGAACCATTGGAAATGTATTCAAGTTTAGTACTGACTCACTTTGCAAATAGTCTACCTTTTGGACAACAGGATTTTTGAGAGCTGCGTGCTCCAGTTTTCATGACCTTTAGCTATCAGCACTGGGAAAGGGAAAGCAGAAATCATCCTTATCCTACTGAGAAACCTTACTAAGAAATGTCTCTTCTTTGTTGTCCCCAGTTCAGGACACCCAAACTTGATCGGAATAGGCTGTGATTATTTCAGTGCTTGATCTAGTAGTGCTGTGCATTTCCCTGTCCTTACTCAGCTCCTCATTGGTGGCCAGGGGCCAATGGTGCTGTTTACTCACAACGCAAGGGAGGTCACAACCAGCACACTTTTATATTCAGGAGTCTCAAAAGCTTCCTTTTTGTAAAAATATCTCCCTATTCTGGTTTTTAATCACCTCAGTTCTGAGGCTTTATCCATGACTGAGTCCTCATTGTACAGATTATAGTTCTAAGCTATGTGAAAAATTACAGAAAGGATTATTTTGGCTGTGCGTGTGTGTGTGTGTGTGTGTGTGTGGTATTGGGGTTGGAACCCAGACCCTCACGCGTGCTAGGCAAGCTCTCTACTAGAAAACTGTTCCCACCCCAAAATGCAACATTTTTAATATTTTTCATTCAATGCCTAAAAGGTTTTATTCAAATTCTTACTACTAGTCTGAAGAGTATTAAACACCTTCTATAGACCAGGATGGAAAATCTTGGAGAATTGAATATTTACTCAAAGTCAAGTTGGCTAATCAATAAATAAGTGTCATTTCATTGCTCAAGGATTATAAGGAAATATATAACCAGGACCCTAATTTATATGGGGAAGAGTGTAGGGAGGTGAGGGGCTCTCTGAAGGTATTCTTTCAAAAGGGAGAATTGAAATAGGCAGAGGTGTTAAGATATATGAAGTTACAGATCATTCCCTATACAAAGAACAGTTTGTGTAAGGGCTTTGGGGCAAAATAAGATGTAAGGCATTTGAGAACCTAAAGAAGAATCTGTGGGGCTGCAGTTTAATAAACTCCGGGAAAATACACAGAGACAGATAATCCAAAGCTCCATAGAATACGAATCCCAAATTGTACCCAGATGCAATAGGCACTAGGCAGTTATTCGATGATTTGTTGTCATTGTTATTATTGTCTTTTCTGTTGTTTTCAGCAGGAACAATCTCATTGCATTTGTTGACAAAGAGCTCTCTGTGCAAGCAGGAGAGAAGGCATGGATGTGTGAGGGCTGGTGAGTTAATCAGGAGAGAGGGGCTGCAGCTTGACCTGAGGAGGGACAGCAAAAAAGGACACAAGTCTTGGTGTATTTTGGAAATGGAGTCAGAACTTTGCGATGGATTGGCTCCAGAGGGTAAGAGAGAGAAAAAAAATGTCAAGGATGATTTTCATGTTACTGACTCAAGCAATTGAGTAGACACGGGTGTATTATTGACTTGGAGAAATCTGGAGCATGACTGAGTAGATGAATATGGGAGCATGTGGGAGGCAAGTTTCCCCAGTCTGCTGCTTTATGAATCTCCTTTAGATACCTTGGTGCTCCTAGATAGCTTCCTTTGTCAGGAAGGCAGTATCACTTGATGTTTAGCTAAAAATCAACAGCATTCGACTCTGAGGCAGGAGACATGGGTTCAGGACAAAGGACTTCCTCTCTTCTCTATCTCTGAGCCATTTCTTCTTGTCTAGCATGCATAGGTGTTTCTAAAAGACTTCTGTGTGCCAATTTTCTTCTAAAAGCAATAATCCCTGCTTATGACCACTCAAAGGGTGATTTTTCAAACCTACATCCAAAGGATGCACTTATATTGATTGCATATGAGTTGGAGTCTGGTCCTGAGACACAGGTAAAGTAGAATGTGGAGTTCAGATCATGAGCAGAAGACACACAGAGGCATTCAGATTGCCAAGGTTCCAGCGCAGTGGGCAGCAGGCTTCCCTAGTGTTGCCATGCAGGCATGTTGTCAAGGACACCTGCTTGCTTTCTTACATAGGGTGTCTCCACTTTCACACAAATTCATCTTCTCTTTTATCTTCCTAGGAGAAGGAACTGAATTCTATGGCATGGTGGATGTGCTTGGACATTGGGTCCAAATTTGAGCCCTGTCTATGTTCCTACCCATTATTACTTTTTTTCTTATAAGATCGAGCAAAGGGATCATGCATTTCAGAAAAATATCCTCTGACTCTTTCAATTTCCACAGAGTTTCATCTGTACATTGATCTGGCCTCTGTGAATTATCTCCTATACTATTGCTCTCACCCCATCTGTTTCTAAAGGCCAATAATTATTGATACCTCACTGCTGTGTATACAGTACATTGAATATAGTAGATATTCAATAAATGCCTGCTAACCTTTACTGCCAAAAAAAGATGTTAAAAGAAGTCCTGGAAGAATAATAAAGGAAAAAAAGTTACATATGTCATTATGTCATGTAAGATCCTCAAAAAAGAGATTTTGGTATACGATTACAAAGGAAAGGCGAGTAAAATTGGAATCCATTCATTGGCTGAAATTGGATTACTAATTCTCCATTATATATTAGCAATGGATTGTTTCAACGCTTGTGCTGCTAAGATAAAAATAATAGCTAGTATTCATTCAGTGCTTGCATTGGCCAGTCATCATTTAGTCTTCAGGGCAAGCAGTCCTTGATTGACTAAGAAATATTTGTCAAAAGAATCAAAATTGATGATGTGTATTTACAGTCTGAAATGCTCTGCTCCTTTAGCTCTGCTTACATCCACCAGCTGAAGGGGGAAATGCACCCAGACTGTCTAATCTCTTTAAGTCAGATGAGTCACAGAAGCAAACATTGGGAGATGTGCTACAAAATAATCAATCATCAGATAAAACTGTTTTGCACGTAGCAGATGCATAAAATGAAGTGAGAGTAATTTCAAGCTAAAACTTTGCATATTTACTAAATGCTGTGGTAGAAGAAATAGAAAAATTTAGCCAGACCACCACTTATAAGGAGGGTACAGTTTCAAAGTAGAAAGGCAGGCAAAAATCGCAGCCTTTTAACTGAATTCCTCATCTCTTTCCCCACATCCTGCGTTTTCGTGATAAACATCTGACTTTCTTGATAGCAATGTGGCCTCTACAAAACGTCCATGCTTTACTTGGTCCATGTCTGTCCTAAATATCACGTCATACACAGGACACACGCCCAGCAGTAGGGCGGCAGCATTCTAATCAGCTCCCATACAGGAGGTAACTTCCCACGTACTAGTGCTAAGCATCATTACACCAGTTCTACTGACGAAGAAACCACAATGGTGGGTGAGAAGCCTGTGTTGTTCATACAGAATAGACCCTGAGGAACTTGAATGTGTCTGCTCATCCCTTCCCTGTTCCAATATTCTCTGATATTTCTCAAATATAAACTAATGATCATCTAGTCTGAGAGGATGATAACTTTCTCTAAAGTGGACATGTCACAACTTACAATTTTTCTATTTCCTGGAGCCAAATGCATGAAATTATCAAATTCTGCCTGTCTTCATACATGAGCATGCTAAAGCATCACTATTTTTTTCGTACCCTTTTTCCTGTGCTCAAAACAAACTTCTCCCTCTTGTTCTGGATAATTACAATGTATTCTTCAATTATTCCATGCTCAGATGTCTTATCTTCCAGAAATAGTTTCCTGATACTCTTTTCCTTTACTTCTTTCCATAACCAGAAGAGAATTAAGATCCTGGGCCAGGGATTTTGCTCACTGGTGCCACCACCTGCCTTGCAAGCTCAAGGTCCTCAGTTGAATCCCAATACCAGGAAAAAAAAAAAAAAAGTACTTTCTGTGTTTTGTGTACCCTGTACCTAAGTCTAATACAGAACTTTACCTATCATTTCACTTTTTCTTTATCATGATTATTTCTCTAAGAGTTAGAGCCATATTTTATTTTTACAATAGTGTGTCCCCAAAACCTGTCACTGACATTGGAAATGGACTATATCAATGCATGTGATAGTGAAATAAGAGTAACAGCTAGCATTCATTTAATACTTCTACTGGCCAAGCATGGTTCTAGGTAGGTTTCATGTAGATTCAGTTCTCATAACATACATGTGACAAAGAAGGTATTAATGAGAATCTTTCTTTGTGTGTGGGCTACTCAAATACGTATACAACTTATGTATACAAATACAAAAACACACATCATAGCTCTGGATGTTTTACTAAATAACTCGCTTGATAACTTTGCATACAAGGAAAGTGATACTATATTTAGCCACCTTGATAAACACACCATGCAGATCATAGGTGGCTGTGTGCCTTCTAGAGCCTGTCATGGTCAGTGTTGAAGCTTAGCGTCCTGTGTCACATTGACATTCAAGATAGGGGAGGTCCCAAATGCTAGTCACATGGAGGAGTAACCTGAGGATGTATAATTGGAGAAGAGAACGCTCTGGGCAGGTATGATCACTTTGTTCAGATACCTAAAGGGCTGCCTTGGAAAGGAGGGATTCGATACATTTTGTTTGGCTCCAGGGGGTGTGAAGCTGGGATTAGTGGATGGAAGCTTCAGGGTGGAAGAGTACTGTTCAGTTTAGGGAAGGGTTTCTGGTAAGAAAGATTTCATCCTCCTGGGAATGCACCACCATGGTTCCCTGTCAGCATGGGAACCAGACGACACGTCCATTTGATAGGTACTGTTATATTCCATTAGGGACCTTTGCTTTGGGCAGGAGAGCATATTATTGGGCCACCAAATCTCTTCTAGGCATACATTTTAATGGACAGTGTAACAAGTCTAGTTAAAAGTAGGCTTTGGACAAATTTCTTTCTCATTAATGTTAAAACCACTACTTCTACCACCACCACTGCTGCCATAACTATAATTGATAGTTATCAACAGGTAATGTCTGCAGGGCAGCTACTCTAGGTAAGGCACACATTACTTGTATTAGACGTTTTGCATTTTTCACACCCAGTGTTATTTGACCTGCGCAGAGATTCGTATTTTAAAAAGCCTATCAGTCAATAAATAGATAAAGAAAATAATATATTTATATTATATAGTAAATATATAAATAATGAAGTATTATTCAGCCATAAAGAAGGACATAAAATCATGCAATTTGCAGGAAAATAAATGGAACCAGAGGTTACTATGCTAGGTAATAATCAGACACAGAAAGACAAATATCATGTGTCCTCTCATATATGGAAATTGAAAATAAAATGGCATGAAAGTAAAAGAGGAGCTATTAGAAAAGGAGAGGGGACCAGAGAAAGATACATACATGTATGGAAATGTCACATTGAAACCCATTAATTTGTATAATTAATATAAAAGAATTAAGTTTAAAAAGAATAATCAGGAAGGACTACACTTCAGGGTGGGTTGAAGGACTTGAAAAGGAATTGGGGATCAAAACATGGTGAGAAGATTTTGTGGTATTATCAGCATATCAAGAATAGTGAAATTAAACATGTATCTGAAAGCAAATATTCTAAGTAACTTTGATAGAGATAGTCTCTTCCCCAAGGGACTGAAGAAACCAAATTGAATGAACCCATTCATTCAAACATATCAGTGGAAAAATGCATAGAAAATACTGTATATAAAACATGCATGTACCTATTGCTGTCTCATAAGATGTTCTCTTTCCATGGCATACGTTCTGTAGTCATCTTTCTTCAAGAACTCCCAACGCTATCAGCTTTTATTTCTCTCATTCCTCAGCACTTCTCTTAAGCACCTATAGAACTCGTCTGCACTACAAAGTTAGATTTTAATCATGTGCTATAAAGTACTATTGGATTTGTTCTTGTTTACCTACTTTTCTTTCTGTGCCAATAGAAAGAAGTGCATCTTGTATACTGCAGTAAATAAAGAAATGTAGGCTGGAGGTGTTCAGAAGCCTTTACAGGGTAAGTTAACTTCGACAAATACAGTGAATTCCAATATTTGTTCTTCAGCTTTGCAAGTCCAAGAATTCAGTCTTTTCTGAGTGCCAGAAACAAGGATTGATTTCAGCATTGAATATATTTTTGTAACACTTAAGTTGTCTCTGTGTTAAGTTGGGGCCATTTGGACAAAAGAGAGGCTTACCATCTCAATTAGGGGCAAGTATTGAAGACAATCACCCCTTCCCAAATTTATCCTAAGAGAATCCTAATTTTTGTTTTAAACAAACAAATAAACAAGCAAATAAATAAATAAATAACATACAGAGTGGATGATCAACATCAAGAAAATACCCAAGTAGAAAAAGATGGCTCTAAAATTTCTTCTTCGAGAAAACTGTAGCTCTGAAAAAATGTGTTTTGTTTTGACTGTACATCTTGATCAGGTGGAGAATGAAAAATTGGGAGTCAGAGTTAAGTATAACTCAACCTAAGAGCTAGAGTGCTTCATTCTACAATTTCAGGGAACACCACTAATATCAAATCTGGAAAGTTACTGGGGAGAAGAGAAATACATAATATAGATTGGTTTTCATAAGATAGAGTGTTAGACCTCTTTCTTCTCTATTTCCCTGAAAACTACTCTGATACATTTCTTTGTGACTGACACTGGACTGGCCACACTGGTGCCAAGATTGATTTTTGGGAAGAGTTATTAAAAAGAGTTGAGCTATGAATCTGATGGTCCACAGGTAAAAGAGTACTCTTCCTGAAGCTCATAAATTAAAGGAAGAGAGGACGTTGACATATAACTATATGATAATGATGTCTAATTTAGAGCTTTCAAATAAATCAACCAGAATGAAACTATGAAAGCATTCAACATATATTTACTATGTTCTTCAAGGAAAGTCAGCTTATACTGGCTACTCATAAGAAAGTTAATATGGTGAGGATGTTGGTAACAATGATGTGTGTATGTGCATGCATGTGTTTGTGTGTGTGTGTGTGTGTGTATATATAGAATTGCATGAAAAGACCTGTTCTAATGTCAGCTTTAAAGAGCCCCACAAATGAAGGAGGAGAGCTCAGCTATGATGCACCTGCTCAGTCTAAGCCTGATAGACTGTGCACCCTTATTGCAGTGGAATTTGCAGTATCAAAGGGCAGAGAGACTCAGTTGGGATACATTGTACATCTGTGTCTTTCACTGCCAGTTCCTCTCATTTGACAACCACATATTTCTTCAAATATCTGAAGACAGCAATTTTGCTCCAGCCAAATCTTTCCATTCCCAAAGAGACATTTGTCTCTTTTAGATGACATTAAATACTTATGACTTATTTTTTATGGATTTTGTGTAATTATCACTATTTCATTTTATGATTTTTGAAGCTCATATCTTCTTCTTCTTGTTCTTATTCTGAGTTCTGGACACAAGATAAGAGAAAGTTAACACCAATTATATATACAACAGAGTCATTACAGAATGAAAAATTTTAGGAAAAAAATCTTGTTTTTCTCCCTTTTGGCTTCCTGTGAATTTCTAGCACAGAACAAGGCACAGAATAGAGGCTCAGTAAATACTTCACTATTTCCTGGAGCATTTTTAAAGAAAGACTATATTACATTTCACACACTTCCTGCAACAAAAGCTTTTGCCTTGTTCTTTAAGTCTGTTATTGTTAAGTTCATTTTCTTGAGTTAAATTATGATTTGTAGAATCCTAATCTTTCTCTAAACACATTTGTAATTCTCTTATATTCTTTATTCTGTTGTTTTGTGTTTCATGTATCATTATTCCATGTTACATTTCTTAAAGAGAAGACTTACTGAAAGTGCACTTTTTAAAAAAGAAAATGTTTTATTATTATTGTCTATAGCAATTAAAGCTTGAAATTAGAGTTAAGGTTGTGCATTTTGATGTAGGCAACTAGACAGATATGTTAACATTTTGGCAGGGTTTTTCTTTGCAGGCATAAAGTAATCATTAGGAAATATAATACTCATTTTTTGCTTGATTAATTACAGCAAATGCATAACAAAATATATATTGTGTATTAGAGCATGCATTATTTGTAAAATTATAAGTCATGGGTAAGCTGAGGTGTAAATCTAAAATATTCTATAAGAAACTCACAGAGTATTTGCTTTTTTGAAATACTTTTGATAAAGAATTTTTATGTACTAACAACATAGAGAAACATGCTTTAAGAATACAACTTGCCATCTAAAACAGTCTGACTTATCCTCCTAATTTTCTCAATCTGCCATAAATTCACATGTACTTTGGAAGGTTTGCTGATAATTATACATAATAAGCAATACTTAATATAATAATAACTACTATTTTCTCAGGACTCATTTTTAACCAGACATCATACCAAGTGTTCTATACATTATCATATTTAATCCTTACAACACTTATGCAAAATTAATATAGGTATGATTTTTAATTATTATTTTTAAGGTAAAAAAATTGATGAGATGCACATATTCCAGCTGTATAACTTCATAGGTTTTTACAAATATAATTTTTTGTGTATTTGCTATCACAATCAAGGGAGAAGATATTTCCATGACTTAGATGTAAATGCTGTTTTGGGCACAAATATCTACTTTTATAAAATGAGTCTTAGAAGATATCTTTTCTCATTGCTAAGATAAAATATCTGATTCACAAAGTTAAGGGAGGAAATGCTTATTTGGCTCACAGTTTGTAAAGGTTTCAGTCCATAGTTGGCTGGCTCCAAGGCAAGGTGATATGGCAGACAAGTATTGCAAAGGAGAAAAAGCTCATGGTGGGCAGAAGGCTTAGGAGCATCTTTCTTCCCCTTTTATACTCTTCCTAAGCTACTGGCATTAGGAGGATTCCAAACCAATCAATGCATTTATTTAGTAATCATAAACCCTTAATTCCAGAACCATACACTCTAGTTTCAGCCACCTCTGGAAAAAGCCCCACTTATGACTGCATCGGGCTTTGGGGGTACATCAAAATAAACCACAGAAGAGCTATGTAATTTTCTTAAAGGCATCAGGTAGTAATGTTTGTAGACAAACCCATCTTCCTTTTCTATATGCTATAGTGGGATTTTCAAGGCTTGCCTTCAACATCTGTAAACTTCTGATAGATGGATAGATAGATAGATAAATTTGGAGAGAAGAGGAAGAAAATTGAAAGACTCAGAGGAATTAAATTAAAAACTACTAGTGCTTTGCAAATCTTCTCACCATTAAAATACTATGCCTTTGTAGGAGTAGAGATTCGTGCCCCATTCTTAGAAATTTAATTAATTAATTTAAAAATTTTATTTATGTTACTATATTTTTGCCTTATGTGATGATTATGTTCATTATAGGGAATGGAAACACATGTACGTAATATATCTAAACTATTTATTTTATTTTGCTCTTTTCTTTCTTTCTCTTCTCATAGTCTGAATATTTTTATATGCTCCTGTGTAGGATAAATTATACATTGTAGTGGTTACAACACAACTACGAAATATCAGAAATGTAACACATCAGATTTTATTATTACTCAAAGGCCCACTGCTTGGGCAATCCTCCAGACATGTCCTCTTCGCAGTAACAGTAGATGCTCTACCTTTGGCTTTGCCATTGAAATATTTATCTCTCACAGCAGGTGAAGAGATGAAGTGCTGTGCACCAGATCTTAAATCTTTTTACAAATCATTGGTCCTAATCCATCACATGACCCTACCTCTTGGAAGAAGCTGAGAAATATGTATAGAGAAGGCCGTAGATACTTGGAGAAAAATGAATGTCTGACAAAATCAACTTTTTAGAATCGCATACTTCTAAATTTCTTTCTTTTTCGGGAAGTGTTTGACTCCAGTGTGGTACAGATAGATTTAAACTTTTGTTTTTGTGGGGAGTAATAATGCTGTGATACCTCCATTTCCCATCTAATGCCTTTCCTTGTCATTTTCTTGGGAAGTTGACATGAAAAGCATGAAGCTGTTGTCTTTACTGACTATCTACCACCAACTCCCTTCATTGCTCTTTTATTTTTCTGAGTAGCTGAATGTCTACTCACAATCCTGTGCATCCTCACCTGACCCTGCTGCATGTGTCACTGGAATAACACCTCAATGACTGCTGGTGTATTAAAAACAGAGGTTTTAATATCCTGGCCTTTGGGGTTCTGAGCCAACTGAGGAGTCAGATTGCCTGGCTTCCATTCCAAATGCCTTCATTTACTGGGTATGTGAGTTTGATAAGTGAATTAACCTCTCTGAACCTAATTTCCTTTTGTATAAAATGGAGGTAATTACTGTTTGTATCTCATGGGGCTATCCTAAGTCAAAAATTATAAGCCACATAACTGTTTAACATGGGGTCTGGCATAAGGAGAACAACAAATAAACTTTGTCAACTTTAACAATGCGATGTTTTTAAAACTGCTGATCTACCAATATGTAATAAAAAGAAACTTCTCTGCATGGCCTCATCTAGAGAAATGGATTTCACCATTACAGTCTAAGACAAAAGCCTTTTGCCATGACTTCTACTTAATCAATGTCAATTCATTTCCCCTCTTTCTTGTTAAACCAGTTTTGACCCTGTCTTTGAACTCCAGATGATGATTTCATGAAAGGTAAAATAAAATTAGCAAAATGGCATTTTTCCGTCAATGAGAATATAGCGGCTATAATTAGGTAGTGAACAATATCTTGCATCTCTCCTACTCTTTCCCACACGAAGCCATGTGTTATCTAGCAACATGAGGGTGTTAAATTGTGCAACATAAACTTTCTTCCCCCAGAGTGGTAAGTGAGCTCTTTTACTTTCTGTTGTGACACCATTTTTTTCGGCTGCGTCAGCACGCCTATTGTCAATTTACCTCTTTGCAAGCTGCGTGTATCTTCTCAAGGAACATTTATTGAGACCTCTTTTTCAACACCATCTAGGCATTTCCCTGGACATGTTGTGTGCAATGCAAGCCTGGCATACTTATGTGAGGTATGTTGTCCTTGAAAGGTGCTTTTTTTTGCTCCAATATGAAAATAGTTCAGGTGCTCCATGCCTCAGACATTCAGGACACATTTGACACATCAGTATACATTAGCTCATGCACTACATATTCTAGACATTCTCAGGTAATGCCTGTTTAGTTCTCTTCTGCTGATCACCTAAAAAACTATTTTGGCCATAAAATTGTATTTTTACCCAAAGAGACTATTTGAAAGAATGATACAGTCGTTAACTGGATCATTGGTAGCTTGAGCTATGGAAGTTTCCCTGTTTCCTAGGCTTAGAAAGATAATAACAAAGAAGCCATTGCTTAATTTTATAAAGCCAGTGGGAACTGTAAGCACAAACCAGGAATCTCTTTGACGTGGTTAAGCTGGGGAGAGTGGAATGAGACATTGACTACAGGTGCTGTACTGTGTAAGAAGGGCACAAAAAGCCCAGTCATCAGTACAAGTAATATGGGTGCAATATTTTAAAAGATAAGGAAAAGGCAAAATTCCACTATGAACAAATTTTAAATAAAACCCAGTGTGGTATTATTATTATTGCTCCTTTGATTCCATTTCAAACATGTATGTGAATACTGCTATTACTATTCCTTTATTTAAATTCTTAACATTTTTGTTAATTATGAATATTTGTGTTAGTTTTTAATTTTCAATACAGTGTGTTGAAATACTGTTTGCCTTGATTTCTGGTGTCTTTTGGGGAGGATCCCTTAAATTTTATGGCCATTCCAGTATCTCATTGCTGTAGGATCAGTGTGCTGCTTAACCTGTGCCCAATTGCAGATGAAATGGAAGACAAAACTCATTGTATCTTCAGCAGAAGTTCTGCACAAAGTCAAAATTAAGAAGAAATGCCATACCTGTATTCACCACAGAACTATTCACAACAGCTAAACTGTGGAAAGAACCCAAATATCTAGCAATGATTAAGCAAAATGTGGTACATGAGTACAGTGGAATATCATTCAGCCTAAAAAGGAAGGAAATCCTAACACATGCCACAAGATAGACCAAACTTGAGGAAATATTTTGCCAAGTGAAATAAATCAGTCACTGAAGGACATATACTGAATATTTGCACTTCTGTGGGTTATCAAGCATGATCAAAATTCATGGGAATGAAAAGTAAGAATGGAAGTTTCCAGGGACTATGGGGAGGGGAAATGGAGAGTTGCTGTTTAACTTGAATGGAGTTTTAGTATTGAAGCCCAAAAAAGTTTAGGACACACTTAACACTACTGATCTGCAAATGATTACTTATTTTAAAATGATTAAGATCTTATTTTAAAATTGTTAAGTACTGTGTTTTATAATCATAATTTTAAAAACTTCAAAGCTAACATTTAAAGCATGAGCCAGTGTTTCTCGCATAAGAGAAACCAGATGATATTTGAGTTTGAGTGCTAGATTTATTTTACTCAGTAGTGTGGTCTCAAGGTGCATCCATTCACCTATGAGTGGACATGTACCGCCTCCCTGTAATGGATGCAGTCATAATGTACTGAAAGCACATTCCAACAACAACAACAACAAAAAGTGTCAGGGACGTGATGCATATCACCCAAAACAGAGTCGGAGAATGGAGTGGAATCAGAGTTCCAGGAAAAGGAGAGAAAAACAGGCTGTGTGGTTCTGCCTTAGGGATTCTAACTGTCATTGGAACAGGATGCATCGAAAACGGGGCTGTAACACATCCATTCAACCTCCTTCAGAAGTCTTTTCTGGCCCTCCTTCTTCTCCTTTGGCTACTTTCTAGGGAAAAAAATGTCTTTAAATGTAAGACCTATTTTGATTAGAGATCCTGACTGTTAATGTACACCTTCCTGGTGCTGATGGACTGGCCAAGACGTGCAGCACATTCAGATGCTTTTATAGAAAAGCTAAGACTTATGTTTCTAATAACTCTTTCATCTGCACATCTAGTTTTTCCATTAGGAAAACTAAAATAGCTCGTGGAATTGCTTTTTTCCTTCCACAATAACAGATACTGCTGCGAGCCAGTCACTCTGGGACACATGTAGAGTATGATGGGGATACAATGAGTACATTCTCTTTTCCCTCTACACCCTTTTGGCAGAAGGACACTTTGTGACATCTCCTTCATGTTTCAGGGTCAGAGAACATCTCTTGTGTGAGTGAAACAGAGGTAATTCATGACAACATATGCTGAGATAATGCACTGTGATCTCTTTGAGGGCAGATAGCATCTGTAAATAATTTTAATAACTTACAAAGACCCTTCACCATAATAGAGTCTAAGTAAGCATGATTTTGTTAAAATGTTTTCTCTCCCTCGAACATACTAGATTATTCCTTTTTTGCCAGTGGGGCAAGGAGGGTGAATAGTCAATATCAGTTATGGTAGGTGAGTTTAATGCTAGTAACAACCTCCAGACCCTTATGACTTAGAAAATGAAGGCGTGCTGCACTTTGGCGCTACATGTTTATCACAGGTGAGCTATTATCGTGTCTGCCCTTTCATTTTCACTGCGAGACATGGGCTAAACAGTTGACCCTTCCTTTTGCTGTCATGACCAAGAGTACAAAAAGGCATGATGAAATGAACTTTCTTCCATTCAGAACATAACCTTTGTCCTCATTTCTTTGACTAAAGCAAGTCACATGGACCCTCAAGTACAACACGATCACGCTTCAGAAAAGACCCTACAACAGCAATGCACCGTAATAGTTAGCAAAGGTGACTATTTTCTACAGGTGGCAGAAGAAATGAAAAAAGAGCTACTATGTAACTTTCCAGGAATTTTATATCTGTTTTCATTTATCTGACATTCAGTTTTGAACACAACCCAAGAGACACATATTGCTCTATTTTTCTTATGGGTGAAGAGGCTGAATTCAGGCTGACTCGGAAACCCGGCCAGGGCTCCAGAGGTAGTATATGTTAGAGAGGGTATTTGAACCCACATCCTACTCACTCAAAGTCGGTGTGTTTTCCAAGAAAACACAGTGACTACCACAGTCGTGTGGAAAAAGTAAGTCCTAAAGCACTTATTCTGCAAATCAGCTTTTAAGGATGCAACAGAAAATGGACAACTATGTAAACTGATTGGACAGAAAGTACAACTTTGGAAAGATGGCTAGAAATGGCTATGTTCTTCCAGACATGGTGTGGTGCTGGAAAAGCAAGATTACTTATTCCATATCATGCATTTTCCATGTTAAAATAGCATGTGAGCCTTAATGACCACCAAAATATGGATGATGAAATGCTTTCAAGGAAAAAAAACCTTTTTTTTGGAATATCCCTAGTTTTGGAGCATCCCATGCAGGACTAAAACATATATTTCTAGAAATCGCTGGATGTAGAATATAAATAAGAATAAATTAATTAGTAATACCAGAAAAAACTTGCCAAGGCAATGCATTCTTGACAAAGACAGGGGCAGGCCATAGAAATCCACTATTATGAGAAGTTGTGCAATAATCTTCAAGATCTCTGTTAGAGAACTTACCACATCTTTCCTATCCCGATTCTGTTTTTACCAGACGCGCAGAACATATTTGGAAGCAGCACACGGGTTCGAGAGCTTCTCATACTATTAATGAGAATAATGAAATAAGATGCAAGAAGGCTCAATGTCCAATCATGAGCCCAAAGGTAAGTAAAGTCTGACTCATGCGTTTGAAGAAAGCTACCCCACTTTTAAAAAGATTCACTCATTAATATTATGAACTAATATATGAAGTTGGTTTGGCTTTTATGTTAAATAAAATAATTACACAAATAGATATATCATAAAGTCTCCACTCTAAGACAAATGAACAGAAAGATGAAAAAGATATATGTATAGGTAGGAAAAGATATGAGTATAATATTGATAAATTCTATGTCTACTCATATGCTGTGCTAGTATTTATTTACAGAGGCTATATGACCATAATCATTAATGCTTCACATGTATATTTATCTAGCAGATATTTACGGAAAGGCCATGATATTATAGACACAGTTCTCCATGCCTCCAGTAATGAACAAAATTTAACAAACTGCTCTCTGTAGAACTGCCGCTTATGTTACAGTGGAGGGCAACATACAAATGTATGTTAGGTGTTTAGAACTTCTTTGGAGAAAATAAAATATGGTAAGGAAATAGAATGCTGTCAAGCAAGTGTTACCTTGCATATGCTGGGCCAGGAAAGGCCTCTCTGAAAAAATGATATTTGAGCAGAGGCCTGAAAGCCACAGAGAAACTGTGTAGGCAGGTAAATGGGTACTAATATTCAGGTGAAGAATAGCAATTCAAAGGCCCTGATGTTCTTGGAGATTTCATGGAACAAATAAAGCAAATCTTATTTGAACAAAGTGAGGAAGAGGAAGGAAGCCATAGAAGCAGTCAGAGAAGTCGTATTGGGGGCTGAGAACAACTATGGAAGTCTTGTAGGTAATTTTCAGGACTAGCTTTCTCACATAGATAGAAAGTTATTGAAGAGTGCTTAGCTTATCTATACAAAAAGGCCCGTGGTCTATCCCACAAGGGCCATTCTGCTGTGAGAAGAGATTAGGAGTAGGATAAACAAAGCAGAAACAGCTGAGAAATAGCAGCAGCTTGGCCAAGGACATAGCAGCAGAAAAAAAAGTGGTGGATTTAGACTGTCAGGAAGAATTTGGCAGGGCTCACTTATGAATGGGAAATAGCGTGTCAGGAACCAAGAAGATTCTCATCATTCTCAAATCTGGGCACCAAGACACTAGAAATGTAAAGTTGTCCTTTACTGAGAGACAAGAGTAGAGGGAGATGATCTCAAGATGAGGCAGGAAAAATGTCATGAGTTTGGTTTGGGATAAATTAATTTTGAGATGTTCCCATATAAGCAGATAAACATGTAAGTTAGACATTCAGAAAGAAAAATGTGAAAATCCAGGGATTACATATAGTTAGATTAAAAACAAAAGCCTAGGATTAAGTCTTTGGTGCATGTTTGTTTAGAACTGGTGAAGGCAGGAAAAACTCGAAAAGGTCACTGAAAACTGATCCCAAATAAAGGAGAGAATTGAGTGAGTTTCCCCCAAGACCAAGCTAAGTATTAGAAGATGAAGAGGGTTATACCATTTCCCACTCGTGTAATATGTGTGAGGAGGCCTACTGGTCATTACGCTTGGTGACGGAGACAACTGTCAGACTAGTTTTAGTGGAGCGGTTCCACTGAAAGCTGAATTGGGACAGGTACAAACAGGAACAGTAAGGACAGCAGTCAATACAGCACCCGGGCATCTACTACAACGAACAGCAGATCCTGAGCCATGATTTAAAGAAGTTGTGGAGTAAAGGACAAACTTTAGTAAGGGGTGAAACAGTGCAATGTATTTGTATGACAGAATTATAGAAAGTGGAGGAAATTTGATAATAAAAGAAAGAGAAAATAACCACCAAAGGAATACCCTTGACCAAGTGAGAGAGGACCAGGGTACAACCAAGAAACAAAGTGAATTCCTTCACCATAATAGAAGCAAAGATCCAGTACGTAGATACAGATACAGGTGATGGACTCAGGTGAAACCTCTCTTCCGACATAACTTCTATTTTCTCAGTGAATTAAGAGGAATTATGTTTTCTTCCAAAGCTGTGTAGGAATAAGTCATAGAGCCTCTGGATTAGAGACTCCAAAATATTTTCTTTCTATGACATTAGAATAATCTTGCTTAATCTTTTTTCAGGGTATTAAAAACTAAAAGTCATCCATACTTGAGACGTCACCATTTAGTGCTAATATTCAGAAAAGTGGCTACTTTGCAATTACCAAAGCTCACATGTATAGACCCAAAGAAGCCATTCAGCTTTTCCACTTATAAATTTCTTTATTGTTTGTGTGTGCGTGTGTGTGTGTGTGTGTGTGTTTTGCAGTACCAGGGGTCAAACTCAGAATTCTGCTTTTGTGAGGCAGATGTGGTGCCACTGAGATAAATCCCCAGCCCTCCACTTATGTATATAAGCCAATTTCCCAGGGTTTCCAAAGCTCGCAATTACTAATAATAACTGAATTTCTACAGCAAGGTTATGAGGTCATTATTGGTGCCACTTTACAAATAAGTAAATTAAAACTCAGAAGTAAGAAAATTGATCATGATTGTACACTCTACTCCTAGTAGGTTTCACAGAGCTCGCAAAGAATTTGGTTGATGAAAGATCACTTAACTTTTTAATTTTATTACCTAGTTTTCAGTTGCAACTAATAGGACTGTTAAAAATATAAAACTATATTATTTAGCCATCCTGGTCTTCCTTTAATACAGAAATATGTTCTTGCTTCATGCTTTCATAGTGATTCCTCATTTGCCTGGAATTAATACCACTTTTGACATCTTCTATGACCATTTTATAAAATAGATACCCTACTTCCTAACCGTTAGGACTCCCTAGACTACTTCCTGGGTTATTCTCTCCAAACCACTTTACAGAGTCATGCACAATACATACTTACTTAAAATTTTATTTTTGTCTTCCCTCCACCAGAAAATAAGCTCTAAGAAGCCATACTCTATTATCTATTTTATTTTTTGTTTAATCCCAATTACCTAGAGTTGTGTCTAGGATATTTTAGGCAATCCAAATTTCCAGAATATTTGAATAAATTGTAGTCCTTCCATCCAAGAAACTCCCGGTATATTGAGAAATTATGCAAACCAACTAACAAACAAATCATTGTACCCACTCAGCAGCCATCCAGCCACTTACCAAATGAGTTTCATCACACTAACCACATAAGACTTAAGAACAGCCTATAAATCTGAGTGCCTGACACCCAGTCTTAGTACCATCAGTTTGGCCTGATGAATTTAAGATTTTTTAAATTCTCTGATCTGCAGTTCCTCTATGAAGGAGACAGACTTAACGCTATTTCAGTGGGTTGCTTAGATGCATTGGAAAACACTGCACAATACCAGATGTACATATCATACAGCTCAACATACACACATTTTTTATACTATATATGAAAACAAGCAAAATTTTATGGATCACATATGGGCTTTGCCCAGAGAGCTCAGGAAAGCAAAGACAAAAATGAACTTAAACTCCACAAGCTTGGTAGACATTTATTCATCATTTAAAATTAATAGGGGTGTGCAAAGGTTTTAGTCCCTTAGAACTTTTATATATAGACTGACACATGATGGCTCTCCTTTGTTTGTGATCATTGGTCCGTTTTAAAATTGGAGAAATGGCGCAGGAGCAGAATCTCTACTTGAGGAAGAGGGATGTGCTGATGAAGTAGATTTTGTGTCCTGCTTTCATTTCCCTTTTGCTTCACGTGCTAGTGAAGAAAACCAGGAAAATTCAGAGTTGTAGTTAAGCTTACATATAGTATCCAATCGAACGTAACGACCTCACATTTGCCATCACAAATGACGTGAGTGATTTCTAAGACATCAAAATTCTGTAGGATTAGACATTTTTATTTCAAGATAGAGATTATGATGCTTTATTCTGCTTAATTGTACAAGCATAATAGTATAGACTGTTAGACCATGATTTGCACAGAGTAGGTACACAAACAATTTTAGAGATGGAATGAATAAGTTGTCATGGTAATTTGCTTTTTTTTTGCAAATAATATGTAAACTATGTCAAAGGAAGGAAAAAACAAATATTTCACTTAACCATTATCTAGGAAATGTTGAATTGTTTCTATTGTGTATTAGTTCTACTTGCATTCATGTTAAATAAATAGAAGCTGAATTAAAAGGTGACATGTAGACTGTTTTCTAAAAAATGTGATTGCTCAGCCTTTAAATACATTTCCTTGGCTTGTGTTTCCATTGAGGCAACTTTGCCACTTTAATGTTATTTAAAATTAAATTTGTTCTTTGGTTCGTTACTATGCTTAGTAAGTTAATAAGTTTATAAATCATAATTAACTACAACTTTCTGTTCTGTTGCCCTTCTGAATCATTTTTTTTAATTTTTTTTTCTTTTCAGCATATAATTTGCCACATGCTTAATTTAAGAAATAGACCTCATTTCAAGATGTGGGCTTAACTGCAAATGTGTAACCATTTCATAAATGAAATGCACATTACTGTTCAGATGCCTATGGTTGCACATATGTGTGCCAATAAGTGAGTACATAAATGTTTAACTTCTCTCTCTCTCTCTCTCCCTCTCTCTTACAGGTTTTCTCCTCCACTTTGCTGTATTTCATCAGGGATTTGTTTCTGTGCAATGAAAGGGAGTCAAATAAAGTACAATGAATTTTCAAATAGTTCGGTAAAGCTTTAAAATGTTCAAGGACAGAGTCAAAGGGTCTCTGCATTAGGATTCCACTCAGGGAATGTGGGTGAGCTTCATTAGAATGGGGAATCATATTGGGCAAAAAGGATTCTTGCAAATGCCTCTTTTTACAGTACATCACATCACGCAGATCTTCCCTAGTGGCCTCATCACACAACTGTGATTTTAAGAAGAAGAGGTGGAGAGGCAAGTGGTAATTAAGGGAGCATAGACCCAACTATGCTGCTCCTTTTCTGCCCTCTCAGGAACTCATGTGTCTCACAAGCATTGATCACCTGGATGCCAACACACACACACATACACACACACACACACACACACACACACACCTGTCCATCTTGTTCTTAAACTTAAATCATTTGTATTTCTTTCCTATTTTTTTTTTAGTTTTGTCTCTCTAAATTATCAGAGAGTTATTTTTTCTTTTATTCGTGTTGAAATACTGTAAATTTTATACTGATCCCATAAACTCTCAAGAGTGACTTTCGTTGTACAATTTAGGGATCTGATCTCAGACACTCTTTGCAGCCCCTTAATGTTTCTTGACAACTGCCATTCCCCTCATGTCAGATGTGAGAATAGGTGTTTCTAATTCCCTCTGGTCTTTTCTGCATTCGCAAATCCATGGTGATGATAGTTGATATGAGTTACATTCACTTCCTGGTTCATGCTACAGCCTCGGGTGAGGAATTTCTATCATACAAGGTCATCTTCTGTAGTAAACTTTCATTTGATGCCATGAGAAGCCCACAGCCTTCAGGTTCCTTTGCCTCCAAAGAACTCAAGGGCACAACTCCCACTTTGGATGGCAAGCAAGGTCTACCCAGAACAGCTCCATCACTGCCCTAATTCGCAAAGACCTATAACATAATTTAGTGTGATGGCCCTCTTGACCCTGCTGACTATCCATCAGATTGCCCCATCCCTTTTGGTCTCCTGTCTGACAGAGCTGGTTTTTACCTGAAAATTCCACATATCTATTATCTATCCACATACCTACCCATATGTAGTTCTTTCTTTGGGTTCTTTGTTTCTTGTGTTTTTAGTTTCTGACAGTAAACATATTACCTTTTTTTTAAAAGGTTGCTTTAAAAATTGTGATGACTAAGAATTCGCTTGAGCACTCTGCCTCACTTTCCCTTTCCACCTTGTCCTTATGATACTGAGTCCTTTCTTGTCTGCTTATCATAAAATCAGTCTGCAATTTCAGCTCTGGTGACACCAAAGAGGAAAATGGTTCAAAATTAAAATTTTTGCATGCAAAATGGGAGCAAGTCTACACTCTAGTCTCCTAGAAACTTTAGATGGATGTTGTTGTAGATTAGCAGGAAATAACTAAAAGTCAACACTTTTTTAGAAAATTATTTTTTATTAGATCTTCAATTATTCTAACACTGATATGGAATGCCTCTGTTTTGGTACAGGAACTTTCACAAACCTTACAAATATAAGTCATTTTAAATTAGTCTCTTACCTTCATTGAGATGTACTTTTAACATTTTTAAAAGGGGAAAACTTTTTTTGCAAACTATTTATTAATTCTTCTATTTTATGGAGCATTTGTTATGTAACATTGCAAAAGCATGCTATAGGATGATAAAGAATTTGTCAACTTTCTTATAGTTTACCCCACCACATCTTAACATCGATGTGTTAGATGTGTAGCTTTTGTGAAATTTTTGTGAGTCATGTAGTTTATATTATTCTAAAAACGTGTCCTCAAACCTCAGTCCTTTAACAAGGATTATCCAAGGATCCAAACCAAGGACTAGTCTCATCTAGACTACATGATCGTCCTGTGTGTGATATGGCCATTACCACCCTGTTTTTATTCTAGAAGCCAAAGTAGGAGAGCAATTTCTGTTGGGAGTATGACCATTAATACTCCCGAGGGTCCGGGAACTTGGAACTACACACAAAGACCAAACATCTCCTTAAGGGCTAAGTTTATAGAGTAATTCCATAGCATATGCCTGTCAATCCCAACCACAGCAAAAAGGAAACAGTATCAACCCAAAACAAAGTATTTGCTCTAATATGCACATTTCATTTGAATATTCACATTTCACCGCCATACACATCGCAAGAATTTAATGAGGCCAAAATATTTAACCTCTCTCAAACACATAGGATAGGTATTTGAGCTTACCATTTCAAAATAACCAGAAACCTTGAGAAATAGGTGAGAGTATTAAACATACAAAGTTATGTACTAGATAAAAATCAGTTATCATCTGATACTAATAGTGTGGTCTCTGTCATTAATTTGTTGTGCAATTAGAAGCACTCCATTCAATTTTTTAATCTTACATAAATCAGGCTTATTTAAAATAAGAATATTCCTAGCCTACTTGCCTACTTTTTGAAATTAGTGAGAGGAAGATATTAGATTATGAAGGTGTCAAAGTGCTTTCCAAATTAAAGAAAAAAAAGAACACTAAATAAATGAAAATTCAGTGGTATCCAAGAACTAGATGCCACCAGCTATTTTCACCATACAGACCAGGGATTGTTCTGGACAGGAAAAGTCAATGTGCCATGATCTGGCACAATCACCCGGAATGGAGGAAGACAGGAAGTGAAGGTTTCATTGTTCATTAGTACCTTGAAAAGGTTCTTCTAATGAGTTACTGGGACAACAACTAAATGCATAATAAGGCTTAATTTGATTTATACTATCATTTTAATTAAATTATTGTTACTCTGTCTTTCAATAGACAGTTTTTTTAATTTTTAAAAATATTTTATTGATACATTTTAGATATACAATATAGCTATATTCATCATTGGGATCTTGTACCCTTACATGATCTATCTTGGTTCTTATTTTTTCCCCATTACACTAGGCTCCCTTCCCCTCTCAACCCTTCTCAATTTATAAAGATTTTGTTTTCATTGTTTTCCTTTTCTATTATTTTTTCTCTTCCCTTTTCATCTTTCCCTGACTCCTCCCATTTGCCCAATACCTTTCGACCTTTTCTTCCTGTTACAAAATATCAGTTATACATTTTGACCCTTATTTACACCTTTAGTTTATCAAACCAGAGAAATTATATCATATTTACACATGTGTGTCCTATTAATTACACTTAAGAGTATGTCCACAACGTGCATCCACTTAACTATAAATGTCTCTAGTTTCTCACTCTTTATGGCTGAGTAGTACTTCATTTTATAAAAGAAAAAAATCTTCTTTATCCATTAACGAGTTGATGGGCAATTGGGCTGTTTCTAAGTTGTAGCTATTACAAACTGTGCTGCTATAAACATGGGTGAGCACATATCACTGTAGTATGATGCTTTTCATCCTTTTGGGAAGATACCCAGCAAGGGAATCACTGAGTCAAATGGGACCTCCAATCCTGGTTGTTTGAGTCATCTCCATATTGATTTCCACAGTGGTTGCATGAGTCCACACTCCTATCAACAAGGGAGAAGGGTTCCTTTCTCCCCACACTCCCACTATTTGTTATTGGTTGATTTCTTGATAGCAGCCATTCTTTCTGGGGTGAGGTGGAATCTCAGTGTTGTTTTCATGTGCTTCTTTTGATCGACTAGTGGTGTTGAACATTTTCTCATATATTTATTTGCTGCTTTGACTTCTCTGTCTGAGAAATATCTGTTCATTTCAGGTGCCCATTTTTTAATTGAGTCTTTTTATTTGGGGGCGCTGAGTTTTCTGAGTTCTTTATATATTCTAGACAGTAGACTTTTGTCTGAGGAACAGCTGGTAAAATTTTTTTCCCCACATTGTAGATTGTCTCTTAGCTCTTCTGGTGGTTTCTCTTGAAGTGGCAAAGCTTTTTAGAAAGATGAGATCTCAGTTGTTGATTCTTTTGCTAGTTCCTGTGCTACTGAGGATTTGTTCATAAAGTCTTTTCCTATGCCAATGTCTTCAAAAATTCTACCTACCTTATCTTCCAACAAGTTTATTATTTTTGTTTTAATATTTATATCTTTAATCCATTTCAATTTTAATTTAGTGCATGGTGAAAGATAGGGGTCTAGTATTAATCTTTCGCAAGTTGAAATCCAGTTGTTTCAACACCATTAAAGAGGCTATTTTTCCTCCAGTGAGGATGGTTGGCTCCTTTGTGAAAGATGAGGTAGTTGAGTATGTCTGGAGTTGTTTCTGCATCTTATAATGTCCTCCACTGATCCTTGGGTCTGTTTCGTTGCCAGTACCAAACTCTTTTTAATGCAGTGGCTTTGTAGTGTAGTTTTAAATTGGGGACTGTGATGCCCTTCCATGTCTCTGTTGCCCAGAATAGCTTTTGCTATTCTAGATCTCTTCTGGTTCCAAGTCAACCTTTGTATGATTTTCTATAGTTCTGTGAAATATACTGTTAGGATTTCAATAGGGATTGCATTGAATCTGTGCAACAATTTTGGAAGTATGGCCATTTTCTCTGTATTGGTTCTTCCTATCCAGGATATCTTTCCCTTTTCTTATATCCTCTTTGATCTCTTTTTTTCAGAGTGATGTAATTCTCAATGTAGAGGCCTTTTGCTTCTTTTGTTAGATTGATTGTAGATATTTCATTTTTTTGAATGCTATTATTAAAGGGATTGTTTCCCTAATTTCTCGCTCAATGAGTCTGTTATTTGTGTACAAGAAGGCTATTGATTTTTTTAGTGTTTACTTTGTATCCAGCTACTTTTACTGAATCTGTCAATTAAGTCTAGAAGTCTTTTGGCAGGGTTTTTTGGTTCTTCTATGTAGAGTATCATATCATCAGCAAATAATGACAGTTTAACTTCTTCCTTTCCTATCTCTGTTTCTGTTATTTCTTTCTCTTGTCTAATTGCTGTGGCTAATGTTTCCAAAACTATATTGAACAGGAGTGGTGATAATGGACATCCTTATCTTTTTCCTGATTTTAGCATGAAGATTTTCAGGTTTTGACCATTTAGTTTGATATTGGCTGTTGGCTTTTCATAGA